CAGTGAAAATATTCCTAAATTTGTACTTCGCTCAGTGTTCAAGGCAGTCGGTGGCACTGGGCATGTAGGTTCTGCACTGGGCCGGCTTTGGTTATTTCCTATTTTCTAAAGAAAAACCGTCTTTGTTGGCTTCGAGTGCCATCTGGTGGGCTGCAGGTTTATTTATCCGGGTATGTAATGTTTGTGGAAAGAGACTGCAGTCCTGCATGCGTAGCCACACACAAATCCATCAGTATTGCTTTCTGATTTACACTGACTTACACACCCATCCAAGGGTGTTTATGCTCATTTCTGGCACTTAAGGTAGATACAAATTAGGGCTTAATGCAAGTTATACATAAGTAAAGCAGAAGTAGACTGTATGACAAAAGTTCGTCTTTTTGTTCAGTGGAGATTTCTGAGACAGAACGTAAATGTGACCAGGAGGCCCAGGTGGCCAAGAAGGCCAATGACATCCTGGCTTGTATCAGCAATGGTGTGGTGAGCAGGACTAGGGAAGTCATCCTGCCCCTGTACTCAGCACTGGTGAGGTACTTTAACAAGCACTGTGTTCAGTTTTGGGCACCGCAGTACAGAAAGGACACTGAGGTGCTGGAGCAGATCCAAAGAAGGGCAACAAGGCTGGGGAAGGGCTTGGAGAATGTGCCCTATGAGGAGAGACTGAAGGACTGGGGCTGTTTAGCCTGGAGGAGGCTGAGGGGAGACCTTACTGCTGCCTTCCAGTACCTGGAAGGTGATCACAGCAGAGCAGAGTTGGTCTCTTCTCACTGGTGACAGGTGACAGGATGAGGAGAAATGGCCTCAAGTTATGCCAGGGCAGATTTAGGTTGGATACCAGGAAGAATTTCGTTACAGAAAGGGTTGTTAAGCACTGGAATAGGCTCCCCAGGGATGTGGTTGAGTCACCATCTCTGAATGTGTTTTAAAACCGTCTGGATGTGGTGCTCAGGGACATGATGTAGCAGAAGGCTGTTGGAGGTAAGGTAGTATAGTTGGGTTGCGGTTGGATTTTATGATCTTGAACATCTTTTCCAACCTGAGCAATTCTATGATTCTATGACCCCATAACCATTCTAAGTCCATCCCATCTCCACAGCCCATCCCATACATATCCCATTTCCCGATATCCCATCCCGTATACATTCCATTTCGATATCCCCACACCCCACATCCCAATCCCAAATCTCACATCCCAATCCCACATCTGTGAGAAAGGCTCCAAGTCAGAAAATCCAGATGAGGGAAAAATCCTAGTGATAGCAGGCGAGTTTATTCATTATTGCAATGGCGGGCGCACGCCCCCTATCGGCAAACGAGGAATTGTGCACCAGTCAGCGAAATTCATTCTGTTGCATACCCTAAACCCAACGCAGGTCATACTCTCCTGGTGCTCGCTCGTTGGTTGAGCGTCTCAGACTCACAATCTCCCTGATGCTGTGGCTATGATACATTTCCATATGAGGTCTGTTACCAACCTGTTTGTTTGTTGGTTGGTTTTGGGTTTTTTTATGTTTTTTACTTTTCTATGGAGGTAGGAGGGCAGTGTTTCCAAAAGTTCATATTGGTGTTGCTTTCACAAATAAAGCCTTGCTGAGTTCTTACTGTACAGGTGCTGACATCAACTGTCTGCCATTTCTTAGTTTCACGATAGGCCCATTCTCAGCATTCAGTAGGGTAAAGAACAAACTCATTGTGCTGTATACCAAGGGCAGTTATGGGATATATAGTGTATACTGATGCTTGGGCTATGGTCATCACAAATGCTGTGACTGAATCTTGTATTGGGTCATAGGCAAAATTAACCAAATTCCACCAAGACTGGAACCTTCTTTCAAAGTCATTAGCATTGTCCCAAATGATCTTTTGAATCTCCGTGGATAAAGTACCTGCTTCTCCTTCCCTCATCAATGCGGACACCATTCTCTGTATCCATAATTGAGCCTGTATGCCACTCAAAGCCATAGAGATGTTTGTCTGAAATGTACCTAATCCTTCAGCCATCAACTGATGATCTTGGGCATTAAATTCTTCCCACTGAGGCAATATAGGACCATTGATTATTTCCCAGTGCCGAAAGAGAGGAGTGTGTGGGATGTTCATTCCCCTGCTCTCGAACACAGGCCTTACACTAAGTGTAAGTGGTGATAGAATTGGTACGTGGCTGTTTTCTAAATAAGTCAAAATAAATGGTCAATATTAGTAAATCCTTGGTAAATCCACTCAGAGTTCTCACTGTTTCCTCCTCTTTTTTTTCTTTTTCTTTTTTTTCTTTTTTTTTTTTAATCTGCTACTACGGTCCTGTTAAGCAGGTGCCACTCCTGGCTGCTTACTCCAAGAATAAGGGCCATGAAACTTGTCCCTGCAAGTTGAAGTTACCACCACCCTGTGCTTCAGCTGGAAATCGCCACTGCTTATTTGGCTTGAGCTCGGGTCCTCCACAGCTATGTAAACTTGTGAGACCAGCTCTTCAATCATGTTGTGAATTTACCTAAACCCACTTTCAGTTCAGTTCAGTTCAGTTCAGTTAATGTATTTGGGTTTGTGTTGCAATGTTCAGTTAGGTACGTCTGCTCACTCCCAACAGGGCAAAGCAGACAGAACGTTTAGCATATTTCTAGCACATTGCTAATAGTCTTTGCTCCCTCATGCTTCCTCGAAGTAATTCTCGAGTAATTCTGGCTCCTCCTCTTTTTCCAGTCCCTGTGCATGGATAGTTACTCACAGAGTGCAACGTGTTCCACTGCAGGTCAGTGTGCACCAGTGCAGGCTCAGCATATTGCCTCATTTGCTATTGCACTGCTTGACTGTCTCATAGCCACATTGGTATTCCAGCCCAGGAATGGAAGGATTGCACTCGTGAGCAATGCATGCTTTGTCCATTCAAACATTCGGTCATCTAGAAGCTTCTGTCTGGGGAACTTCAAAAATGCAAGGGCGGAATCCTTGCAGATTTCTTTGCTGTAAAATGCTGAAGTTTGTGCTTCAAGAATAGGTCGTACCCTTACCCAAGCTGTGCAACTGAACAGAGCTTCTCCACAGTGGAGCAGATGTGGTTGGCACTGTGGTATGAATGTTGCGGGATGGCATTGCTGTATCCCAAAGAACCTACAGCTATGTCATCTTCTTAAATTCTAATGTAATTAGAAATTGAAACTGAGAGTGAGTTTGTGAATAATCTGCTCTGCATCCTGATGGAGAGTCAGTTCTCCAACCCATGGAGTTCAGCCCCAAGCAAACCTCTCACGTTCTTCCGTGTAACTAGCAGAACACATAACTCAGCTCTCAGACACGTACTGCACAAGTTCTCTTAGCATCCTTCACGTGTCTGGCATATCAAACAGCCTTTTGCAGTCTGATACGAACAGCTATTCATTTATTTGGATTTGGGATTAATAAAGGTGGAAGAGAGCATTTGGTGAATTTTATAGGACAGTTTCAGTATTAAGAAAAATAAATACCAGGCTTTATATCTTCATGCAAAACAGCTGGGGAGATTTGATAATATTATGATAATTCTGGCTTTAAAAGGTTTAAGTTCTGTAACCAAAGTTGTGGATTTCATTTACATTCATGAGATTACGAAACCTATGTCAAAATGTGTCTTGTCACTGGTGAGTGGAATTTTAGGAGTTACTGTTCAAAATGTTCTTTCATCACCTTCAGCACTGCAATGAATACATGCATTGTCCATATTTAAGTGGGGGGAAAAAGTGACTATTCTCAATAACTGGAATATTCATATGAACTTTTATGTTAAACATTATTTGATACGCTCTTTCAGAAACAAAACCATGAAGATTGAGTCCAACAGATCCTTGCTATTAAGGCAATATGATTTTCTGTAAATACAGTGTTGATGTGTGCTTAAAAGGTTGTACTGTTACAGGGAGACACTTGAAATCTAAGGAAATAAGCAGAAGACAGAGCCTTGTGTAGTCTGACTTTGTGAGATGTCAGATAGCATGTGAAGTGTCTAAATTTTTTCATTTGGCTAACGATACTGAGGCACATAGCAACACTCAAGGAGTGATAGACACACTGGAGTGAGGTCATAGTTGTGGAAGCTGTGATAAGGTGACAGTGCCACTGCTACACTGCTATCTATTATCTAGAGCAAGTGATAAAATACACTTACAAGTGATAAGGGATACACTCTACCAGAACAGATTTATGACCATGCATCACTTCAGACAAAGGTGCACTCTAAGAGAGCTAATCTTGACAGTTTATTCTGTTCTGCAGGCAGGTGTTCCACTTGGGCTCTGTATCACGCACTGGCCATGCAGTGTGGTGTACAAATGGAAAACACCCTTTGGATCCCAAGGAGAATTATTATAATAAGCAAGAGAGAATCTGTGATGGGTGAGAGAGGAAAAGTGTACTTTGAAGCAGGGGACGCCCTGCTGGCACTGCCTGTCGCATCCACCGCCAACATGTTCTTTCTGCCTCCTTTTCCACAGTTTGTTGTTTCTCTAGGGTCGATAGGTAATAGTGCCCCTAGTGATGGTCTAGCACATTTGCCCGCTCATATTGATTCCATCTGACATGCAACTTCATAAAGTTGTACAACCATTAATTTCCTATTAGCCCAAAGGCATGGTCGTGAGCACTCTAAAAGCATTTGTTGTACAAATTTTAGTGATCATTCAAAATCAATATATCAGAATATGCGAAAGTTGAAGAGTTTTTCCTAACCAGCTACATATTAACACAGAACTCAGGGATTTATTTCCAGGCTGCGGAAACTTGGGCTGCAGATGAAATGTGTTTGTCCTTTTTAGTAGGTTAACAGCATTTCTTGTCATTAAGCTATGTTTGCCTATTCTCCTTTCTCACGTTTAGCTTTGACAAGCTCTAAGAGAGGAAATATATACCTGTTTGCAGCTGTTGCACATAGTGTTTTTTAAGATATTGCTTACTTGAACAGGGAAAGTGCCTGTGAGAGTCTTAAGTCTTAATCTCAGATGGTTATTCATACTGTTGGAAATACTCAAAATAATTTACGAGGACGGTATCTCTGATAAAGAAGATTTTATTCGCAGTTGCAGTGGCAGGCCTCCTGCAAGCAGGAGAGCACCCAGAAAACAGCGTTACATCTTTTATTCCCTATTGCCTGATGCTTATCTCTTTCTCCCCTAGTTCCTCGCTGGCTGTATGTAAATCTGTAATTAATTAACTAACTTGTTTCACACTTGATCGTTG